TTGGAGCTTTCATTGACATCAATTCTGTGCTCAGCCAACTCTCTTGGGACACCTGGCATGTCGGCCGGCTTCCAAGCGAAGATATCTTTGTTGTCCCGAAGAAAGTTGGTGAACGCGAGTTCCTATTTTGCCGAGAGGTGGGCGCTGATGGTTGTTGTCTTAGAGGGATCGCCAGTGCCTAGGTCGATTTGCTTGACGTCGGCTTCTTTTGGTGGTGCGAGGATGCTAGGCTTTTTAGCCAGTATCTCTAGTTCTTCTTGGCTTATTTCTGTGGTAGTAGTGACTATTTCTTTTCTTCCACTGTCGGCTTGTGCTTTGGCCGCGATTTGGATTGCCTGAACATCGCAGTCAAAAGCGCGCTTCAAATCACTTTGAAGAGAAAGGACGTCGTTAGGTCCTGGCATCTTAAGCAGTAGGTACGGATAATGTGGTATTGCCATGAATTTTGCTAGCGCTGGGCGTCCGAGGATTGCATGGTATGATGAATCGAAGTTTGCAACCTCAAACTTGATGAACTCTGTATGGTAATTTGAAAGGGTTCCAAAAGTAATGGGTAGAGTAATTTGTCCAAGTGGCATGGCTGCCTTGCCGGGTACTATGCCATAAAAAGGTGTACTTGTTGGTGTAATCATCTCGGCGAGTTGCAGTCCCATCTTCCTTAGCGTTTCTGAGAAGATGATGTTGAGTCCGGCTCCCCCGTCGATTAGTACTTTGGTGACAGTCATACCGGCAATAGTTGGATCTAGAACCTGTGGGTAATGGCCTGCATTTCCCACGCTAGTTCATTGGTCTTCGCTGGAAAATTGGATTGGATACTGTGACCAATTGAGATATCTTAGAATTGCCAGTTCTGCTGTCATGATAGTCCGTAGTGCTAATTTTTCTTGATGTTTGCTTCTGCAATCTGGGGCCCCGGAGAAGATCACTGCTACCATCCCCCTGGATTTTTGGAATCCTTTGTCTTCGTGGTTGTCTTCATCTTTTTTCTGATTGTCTTCTTTGGTGTTTTCCTTACTGTCTTTTCTTGTGTATCGATCATTGAAGGTGTAGCAATTTCTGATGATGTGCTTCCCATTAGGGTGCAATGGGCAACGCATGTTTTCGATGTTGTCATATCTTCTGGGTTTGGAAAACTTCTTTGATTTGTCGGCCATTGCCACGGTGTTGTCTGGTCTACGTTTTCTTTCCTGATGTCTGCTATTTCGATGATTTTGGTTGTTTGGGTTGTCTCGGTTGCTTCTATCCGGGAACCTCTCTCGTGTCTTCTCTTCTGCAGTAATCATCTTTTCTACTGTTCGTCTGAATTCTTTGTTGTTTCTCGGATTTTCTTTGCAGAAGTCTTGAAATTGCCACCTAGCCATGATTCCATGAGAGAAAGCTTCAATTACTTCTCGTTCGGTGATGTCATGCACTTGAGCCCGTAGTTCGCCGAATCGTTGATAGTAATATCTGAGACTCTCACTTCCCTTCTGCTTGAGTCCTTTTAATTCTGCGTGAGTGATCGGGTGCGTAATGATCCCTGCAAAATTTTCACAAAAAGCTCTTTGCAAGTCCTTCCAATTTCTGATTGATCCTGGATTTAATTTGTCGAACCATTGGAGAGGCATGGTTTCCAGGGCCATGGGAAAGAACAGGGTCTTGATATCATCGTCTCCTCCGGCTAGCTCAATTGATTGTGAATATATCCTGAGCCACTGTCTTGGTTCAGTTTTGCCATCATACTTAGAGTGGTTGGACGGTTTGAACTTGTGAGGTAGTCGTATTGACGCAAGTCTGTTTGCAAAACAGGGGAATCTATCGTGCGTTCCGGCTTCTTTGAATTCCGATTCGGCACCTCCTTCTGGCCAACTGTCGTTTTGATGAGAGTAATTCTGCGAGGCCATCTGGGCTGGCGCCCTACTCCTGGTTTTCTTGGTTGTTCAACTCGGTGGCCTTAACTATGATCCCTCCTACTTTCTCTGGTATGACTTCCACTTGGTCCGAGTCTCTCGAAAGCGGACTTCCTTTGATTTTGATCTTCTTGCCTATGGGTCGTTGATCTGGCGGGTAGTCTTGATTGGGTTCTTTCTTCATGCGTCCTCGGGGCCGTTGACCGGAGCAAGTCCCGGAGTTGTTCATATTTTTCACCGGGATGTGAGGTTGCTCTGAGTTCTTCTAATGCTTCTCGGATCTTATCGTAGGGCGTACTTGCCGTGCGTCTTTCTTCGACTTCTCGTTGTGATTTTCTTCTATCGTATTCGGCCAAATCTGACTCATATGTGATCCAGGCGTCCCTGCGCTGCCTAGCACAGTGTTGGCGTCCTTGCTTCAACTTGTTTTTTCTTTCTCTAGCTTGTTTCTGGTTCTCGGTTTCACCGTCGTAGCCCTGGGCAAAGGGTGATATGTTGGATTCTGATTCATCCGATGACCTGACATAGGGCGCTTCTGGGGGGACCAATGGTGACCGAGGATGGCGAACCATGAGTACTTCCCGTGCGTGAACTGTTCTGTTATTGGCGTTAGTTTCCATACTATCGGAGTTGCTGATAACTTTAGTAGAGGTCTCGAGGTCGTAGATCGAGTCTCCTTCTTGGTCAGGTAGAATAGATGTCGTCATCGTGTCATCCAGTCGGGTACTGCTATCCTCAGGAACAGAGCCCGGCCAGTGGACGATGCAGTCTTGAGATGTTATAGTCAGTACGAGACCTTCCTGAGCTCCTTTTAGTAGCATTCTAAACACTAGATCGAGGGATCCTTCGAGCCGTGCCTCATAAGCCTTTGCCATGTTGTGGAGTCCGAACGGAAAAGACCTGACTTCTTGAAAAGACTCTGAGTGTTCTCCGAGTTGTTTTCTTGATATGTCGAGGCCACGTTCTGGAGCCCCATCGGAAAAGAACTCGGTTTTTCGAAAGAACTCGGATAAGACTCTGTCTCGGAAGCGGAGCTTGAATTCGAGTCGGATGCGCAAAGCCGCGAAACTTGAGTTGAATCGGACATCATGAGTTGCACGAATCTTCCAAAGATTTGGTCCGTCGTAGTCGCCGGAATAGAATAGTCTTCATGGTGTTTTGAATCTTTGAGGAGACGGCTTTGGAGCTTGCCATTGTCGTTTGCCTCGCAGATCCATCAGCCAAAGATGAAAGTTGATCCCGTCGAGAAGATCATGTTGTTAAGGTCCGTCGAGCTCTCGGATACAAATTCACCAAAAGCCCCTACCTGGCACGCCAGCTGTCGATGTTTTAACACCGATAGCCTGTCACGGGGTTACCCGGGACAGTATGTTCGGGCTTCAGTGTATGCAGGACTCGACGGTGAATGCAAGAGACAGTCGATTTATCCTAGTTTGGGCCCTCGATCGTTGATCGAGTAATAGCCCTACGTCCAGCCGGCGTTAGCCCTTGCGTTGTATTGATTGTGTCGTAGAAGTTATGATCTCCCTCTCTAGGAACCCTGCCCTCCTTTATATAGTCAGGAGGTTAGAATCCTGGTCGGTTTACAATGAGAGTTCTTAGTAGAATTACAGGATAATATTAATGTTTACAATGAGGTTAGAATCCTCTCTAGCAACTTATTAGTGTAGTCAATATTAAGAAGAGAATGTAACTTCCTAAGCACTTTGGTAAATCCCTTAATTTTAGCTCTTGGATCCAATATGAATGCAATAGAATAAAGATCAGGTATGTTCTTCTAGTACTTATTGTGTTTGTCAATCATAGGTTGGATAACAGATCTTAGATGTTCATCATGTTGATACCTATGTAGGTGTATAGCAATCTTAATAAGATGATGAATCATAAGTGAAGAAGTAGGATAGTAAACACCAGACAAATCAACAGTTGAGTCATAGAACAGTTCAAGAAATTCCAAGATTTTATTTGCCATAGCCCAGTGATCATCAGTCAAAAGGAAACCACTACCTGAACCTCTAGGGTAATTGGCCTCAATGAAAGTACTGAAAGTACTCTTGTGAGGCAGCAAGTGCTTAAGCATTAGGTAGGTAGAGTTCCATCTAACATCCATGTCTTATCCAAACTTCCTAGGTCTAACACCACTAGCAATGCAATAACTCTTGTATGCATCAATTCTTTGATTAGAGGAGTTCATAAAAAAGATTGATGTTCTAAAATCCTCAATGAGAGGATTCACAGCAGCCAGTGCTTCTTTCACAATCAGGTTAATAATATGACAAGCACATCGTTGATGCAAAAACAGATCAGAACCCAAATATTCTTTAAGTATAGGTTTCAGTTTATCCATAGCATTTTTATTTGCAGATGCATTATCCAAAGTTACAGAAAAAACCTTGTTGACTATACCATACTCAACAAGGATAGATGCAACACGCTCAGCAATGTTCTCAACACTATGGGACACATCAATCAACCTTAAATCAAGTACCCTTTTCTCTAATTGCAAATCAGCTTTAATGAAATGAGCCACAACAGATAAATAATCTTCTTTAGCCTTTCCAAACCATATATCAGAGGTAATAGCAACAGATGAAATAGCATTATCCTTTAAACAGACCATCAGTTTATCACGTTTCTCATTGTAGTATTTAAACAGATCTCTACCAGTGGTTTGCTTAGAGACAGGTAAAAAATTAGGGTTATGAGCAGTTTTAATATAATCTTTAAATGCCTCAGTTTCACCAATCATAAGAGGTAGGTCCAATCTAGCAAGCATACGAACAAGTTCAACACGAGCTACCTCAGCACTGTACTCCCAACGATGAACAGAACCATCAGAATTAAAAGCAATATGAGTCTGAGTCATGCCCCGGGTCTTCTCAAGTTTCTTAGGACACTTAGCAAGATGTTGAGTAAGATGCCTAGTGCCATGAGCAGAATAAGCAGAGTAGCGCTTATGGCAATGAAGGCAAGCGGCAGCAAACCTGATCTTTCTACCTTTCTTAGTTTTGTAGTGCTTCTCAAAGTCCTCCCAGACAGCAGACGTGGAAGGGCGATTAGAACCGATAGGGCTAACCTCGCTCTGGCCACCGTCGGCATTAGCCACGTCGACTAGGGGTCAGAGTCATCGACGGGAAGGGGATCAGCAGCAGAATGGCCGAAGAGCACGGCAGCGTCCTCGCGGACATCATCGTCCTCATCATCTCCGGCCATCCCACACATACGCAGCTCATCGTTCTGGGAGTGGTCAAACTCCCCGTCGTCGTGTCGCCCGGCGCCTGGGGCCATCTCTATCGTCTCCGGCTCCTCGACGGCTGCCACAATCAATAGATAAAAGTAGGGTTAGGTTGGGGATTAGGGTTTGGGTTAGGGTTAGGGTTAGGGTTAAGGTTTACCCTTACCTCTACGGCCGGAGCCCCATAAACGACGACGACGAGACAGACCGATTGCACACCCCCGGTACCTCAACGGACGACGGACAGATGACGGAGATGCGGCGAGGATGCCGAGAACGAGGCTCAATCGACGTTCAGGGATGAAGAATAAGGGAACAGAAGGAGATTGAGGGCGGGAACCACCGGATCTGAGGGAGAAGAGGGAGATTGAGGGCGGAGAGGGAGAAGAGGGAACCACTGGTCACCAAAACTGACCCCTTACCCGCCGAAAGACTCCATGGTGACGCGTCGAGGAGCCCAAGTTACGAGTACGGTGAAGAGCGGCGAGCAGGCGAGGAGCTAGGGTTACGAGTGCGGCGAGGAGCGGGCGAGCGACAGAGTGAGTGGGGAGAGCTGGAGAGGAGAGGACGAGAGGCTAGGGTTACGAGTGAGGGGAGTAGCCAAGTGGGGAGAGCGGCCGCATCGGGCGGCTTATATATCGGCCGCCCGGCGATCCAACGGCTCACGCCTCGCCTCCATGATCCGACGGCCGTGCCGCCCGTTGGAACGGGCCGTGCCTGGGCCGGCACTATGGGTCAACCTTTCGGCCCAGGCACGGGCACGGCTACGGGCCGGGCCAGGCACGGGCATGGGCGAGGCCGGGCCGTACCGTTTCACGCGTCCTGTTTGGAAATTTATACCGTCGCCTCCGTTGGGGGGTGGGGGGTCATCGGTCGTAGAGCAGGAAGCTAGCAGATGGTCCATCATCCTCTGTCTCCTGGCCACGTCTCCTCCTCCATCGCCCACCCCTTAGCCTTCCCCTTGTCTTTCCTCCACGTGATTCCTACATAGCTGCTTTGAACCCTTCTACGTTGTGGGGCTACTCAAGCTCGCAAGGACAATAGGATCCACCTACTTGTGCGTGTGGGCAGATACATCGCACCCTCGCTGCTTGGGCCAGTGGCTCTCTCTCTCTGACTCCCACTCCCTCCTGGTCGGCGAGTGATGGATGCAGTGGAGGGGGAGGAGCTATTGCGGTAGTGGTGGTTGTGGTGGGTCGATGAGCTTGCCGACCCAAGTATGCAGTCAAGTTCATCAAGGGGACGTTGACACCGCCGGGTTGCAGGAGCTCTAGCAAGTTAGGATCCCCTCTCTTTTCCTTCCACCACGTGATAGAAACTTCTTGCCACCAAAAATAAGTATCGATAGGGGAGGGTATATATTGTGTCTCCTACATTTAAGGAAGAAGGGGTGTGTATTTGACGATTACTAAAAAATTTCAGAGATTGGTAATGAGTTAGGTAATCTGTTGGAGGCTCTCAATTACCTATATGGTAGCTTTTTTAGCATTGGGGATGAGATAAGTATTTTGATGAAGATGCTCTTGTAAGTTGTTTATGTTGTAAAACATACAGACTTTATCCTAGAAGGAAAGAAGAAGGAGGAATCCTAATCCTAGTCTGTTTGTATGTGGGCTCTTACCAAACTCTTAGGCTTTGACTGTGCTATATATACGTGGAAGCTCTATGTTGTAATTACCAATATTCAGAAGAATAATAAAGAATAGTCTCCCTATCTTGTATCTATTTGTTCTCTACTTTCATCTACTGTGTTGATCATGAGAGACAGAGAGGGGAAGGTCCTAACCCCTGGCAATATGTTTTATAACACGTTATCAGCATGACACGACATCGCCGTTAAAGTCGTCGTCGTTCTTCGATGCCAGCGCTTGTACTGCCGACGTCCCGTCGTGACTACTTCGACAACGTTGACATCCCCGACGCTATTAGCGGAATGGATCTGCTCCTTCCACATGCAACTAATCTGCACTGCATCGACATGCACTGTCGTCATCAAGCAGGTAGATCTACGATAATGCCAAACGCCTATCTACTGACCACTGCCCTACGGGCATGTGAGTTAGATCAAATTGGCATCCTCAGCAAGGTATGAAAGAATCACATCTTTGGATTGATCATCGTGTGATTCAAAATTGGCATATACATATTTGCACCTACAGTTGCATCTAGGATTAATAAAAAAGAAATAAGAGAACGTATGGTTTTGTCTCACCGTACGTCCATACCTGCCATATATGTCTGTCTTGGGCTAAAACCACCAGAGTTACTGTGGCCGCCTTTACGTCGTTATTCTTCCATTTGCGGTAGCAGCCTGCAGCGCAATGCACAGGGTTGGCTTGAAGCCACCACTGATATATATTGCTGGACACTGGCTCGCCAAGTTGCCATGACTCGGCACACCATCGCGAAGAAGGCATGAACACCACTTACGTGGCTACCCACACGCACGCGACTTGCAGCCGACTCGTTCCTCCGGTCCTCCCCTCATGTTGGTCGAAAATATGCATTATTACAGCCCTGAAGCGTGTTGCACTACAGAAAAGCATCATGAATATTAATATTATCTAGTACGGGTACTATATATAGTAGATTGACACGTTGATCATACAAGATCAAGCAGCTGGCAGCTGGTAGATTGATTTAGAAACCTGTAGTTTTAGATCATTCTTAATGGCAGACCGGGGAGAAGAATCTGCCATGCCAGAGGTGTCCATCAGGGAGATCCTTTGTCACCGATGCTCTTTGTCCTCATCATGGAGGTCCTTAATCACCTCTTCGGTTGGCTGGATGATCGACCAAGGCTTTCTAACGCCTCTTCGGATCACTGGTCTCCCTTCTAGGATCAGCCTGTATGCTGATGACATCATCATGTTTGTTGTGCCCAAGGCCCAGGACATGCTAGTCATCAAGGCAGCTCTCCTCATGTTTGGCGAGGCATCGGGCTTATTTTCGAACCTGGACAAGCTAGAGTGTATACGCCCGATCGGTTGTACCGATCCGGATATGAGACCGGTCAAGGAAATGTTGTCGTGCAAGGTTGCAAACTTCCCATGCCGCTATCTTGGTATACCCTCTCCATCTACAAGCTCGTAAAGGCGCATAAACAAAAGCTGATTGATTTGGTCGCGGCTAGGATACCCCAGTGGAAAGGGAAGCTTTTAATGCGGCGGGGAGGACTGCGCTTGCCAAAGGCACACTGTTCGCCATTCCGTTCTTATGTTGATAGCGCTTTGCCTCTCGGCTTGGGTATTTGGACCAGATCGACAAACGGCGGTGGGCGTTCATTTGGTGTGGAGACCTGGTTGCTAGTGGCGGGCTTGCAAAGTCACTTGGCTAATCGTTTGCCGGCCGTGCAATCTTGGAGGGTCAAGGCGTCGTGGATTTGGCGTCGGGCCGTAGACGCCTTGTGGCACGCCCAGGGAGTGGAAGCGGCGCACCATCCATGATCTCGAGCCGGGCGGCGTCGCATGACGCCTCCGTGAAAAGATGGTGTCCATGTTATTTTGTGCAGCCACTTTTTTGGTCGTGGGCTTCGGGGAGTCGACACTGTTCTGGACCGATAATTGGATTGACGGCAAGAGCATCCAGGCATTGGCACCGGCACTATTTGGGGCGATGTCGAGAAGATGGAGAAGGGTGTTGGTCAGCGACGCACTTCCTAGACATGCGTGGGTGCATCACATCTCTAGGGCGTTCACGGTCTAGGTCCTTGCTGAGTTCTTCTAGATTTGGCATAAGCCGCAAGAGATGCAACTCGCCCCGGAATTCGGATGTCTTCCGTTGGTGCCTCATGGCGGATGGTTCCTATTCTTCTGCTTTGGCTTATGGAGCCATGTTCCTTGGGTCATCTAGACCGCTGGGAGCAAAGGAAATCTAGAAGACGTCAGCACCACCGAAAGTACGCTTCTTCTTCTTGTTGGTAATGCATGATCGTCATTGACAATGGAATGAGGTTCCAAGCATGGCCTTCGTGTCTCCGATAGATGTATCTTTTATGACCAACTCCTGGAGACAATGCACCACATCATCATCGGTTGTGTCTATAGCAGAGAGGTATGGCATTTCATACTTGATGTGCTTCACCTCACCGATGTTATCCTCGCCCAAGAAGAGGACGTCCCTGGCGTGGTGGCAAATAATAGGAAGTTGCTCTAGAAGCATGTGCGGAAGGGGTTTGATTCCTTGTTCTTCCTTATCGGTTGGAAATCGTGGAAAGAAAGGAACGCCAGGATTTTCGGCGGAGAACCCACTCCTCCCGCAACTTAGCTTGCTTGATCTAGGAGGAGGCCGATGAGTGGTGTCGAGGCGGGTTTCAAGCACTCGCTTTGTTCTTGCTTATGTTGTTGTAGGTCGTTTACCTCTGGTCGCCAATCGTCCAAATCAGAATTACAATCTCGCATCGCTGTTGGGATGTTGAGCCTCAAGAATTACTGGATTACTGCCGCTTTGTCATGTACTTTGAACTTTGTCTTCTGGCTTAATGAATTCTGTGCCAATGCACGTTCGAGAAAAAAATGTTCTAATCTAATATCTCTATATATATTCTGACTAGCCAATGATAGATGTACACGATGAATTAGTGAATTGATGCAAACATGCATCTCATCACCATCACTAATTGTTGACGGTAGTTAATAACCATTATAAACCGTCAATAAAACTGGTATAAGGGCACAATTGTGACCACCAACAAAGGTCTAGAGGTTTAAACTAACAAACTCCACAAGTTTTGGTGAATCTGTGATTTCTACAGGGTTTATCCAGAAAACCGTCAAGGTAGACCTCCATGTCAGATTTAATTGCACTTATCCACCGTGAAACGGACATTAGAAGGTTCTAGAGGACACCACGCCAAGACATAGAGGCAGAGCCTGCTAGGTGGGGCCAGCCCCACCTACAGGCCACCTGTCAGCCTCCACGTTGCAATGTCGGTTCTCCACCGTCTCCTAGGTTGAATCTACGCCGTTCCTTAAGTTGGTTTGATCCAAAGGCTCACGTTGAACGCTCCGGGCTATATAATCAGCCCCTACCCCCCTGAAGGCATCAAGTCATTTGAGAAGACAGAAACCCTAATCATTCTAAGAGCTCCATCATATTCTAGGGCATAGCTAGTTAGGCTAGGTCTAGAGGAAGGCAAGCAGGCTTCGCTTGGATTCCCGATCGTGTCAAGAGCGTGGTTCGGTATAATTTTTGTACCCCCTCTCTCTTTTGTATCTCCATTACTTTTATATGCTTGCTACAATTGTTATGACAATATTAGTATTCATCTTATTCATGTTCTTCGTTATAATGTTCGTCTACTTTGATTATATACCTAGTATAGTTGGATTATCATCATATTCATGCATATGTTCGTATAGCGCTCACCCTAAGGATCCATGGGTGGGTGGTCGATATTGTGTAAGCGTGGTGCTTATACGTTGTTTACTTGCAGATACA